CGCAGCCTACCCCATGACAACCTGCCGGATGGTGCCTGGTTCCCACCCGGGGTGTTGTTTGTATGTACCGAGGCAGAGCCCAGACCAGCAGGATCCACGTGACTTGTGGCCAAGGAAGGCCCGTGCACTTTGACAGAGTCCTGTAGAGCCCAGGCGCTGGCAATGGTCTGGGAGCAGGGGTTCCCCTGCTCCCCACTTTTGTTCCTGGGCAGCCCCCTGTTGCTTGGGTCTCTCCTGCCCCATCCCTGCCCCTCCCGGGCAGTGCCCACCATGACTCTCCACAGGGACATTCAGTGTCTCCCCTCATCCTACAGGCCGGCAGCTTGGGGCCTGTGGGGGGATTTCCCATGCTGGGTGCTCAGTTCCCATCCACATGAGTGAAAATCTGGGTGCCCAGCCCCCCAGCTGGCACTGATACCCTCAGCCTGAGCCCAGTGGCCGCCTCACTGGGTGCCCAACATACAGTACTGTCACCTCCTTCCCCCTCCACATCCATGGTATTGGGGACATGTCGGGAGAAGATTGTCCCAGAGGCGGGGCCTGAAAGCTGTCACTGAGTTTTGTTTCCTTGCTGCTTCCTGCAATAAAACACTTTCCTGCCAATGCAGAATGAGACAGTGTGTTTGGGGGGCTGGGGGCATTTTAGGGCTCTCAAGGTTACTCTGAAGTAGAAGGGGGAACACACATGGAGCTTGGAGGGAGAACGGGGAGATGCGAGGCGCCCCTGGCAGGTGCCCTTATCTTGCCAGGACACATAGCTCTACACCCAGACACATTCTGCTGGGACATTTCCCATCACATCCCTCAGCTCTAAAGCACCTTGGGTGGAAAATTTTCCCACCTACAGTCACACACACCCAGCCCCGTCCCTCTGCCAGTTTCTCCAGCCTCAGTCCATGGGCCCTGGGGTTGTGAAACTGCCCCTGGGTGTGTAGGGTTCCCCCCAACATATCTTGGGGAGAGCAACCTGCCCCAGACCACAGGGAGGGATCCAGCAACGGCCCAACCACCAACCGACACCGGGGGGGCCAGCGGGGCTGGGCAGAGTTGGACAGGCCCTGGGGCCTCACTCCCTGCCTGGGATGGGGTGGGGCCGGTCCAGGCTAACGGGGTTGTGGGCAGCCCCGTTAGGGCCAGATCTGGACCTGCCCCAGGACTGTGGTGGTGTCAAACACTGAGCCCGTGAGCACCGGGGGACACTGCAGGGTGAATGGGATCCCCCTGGGCCCAGCCAGCCCGGCCTGCCGCAGATCCCTCTTGGCTCAGCCAACCCAGCCTGCCCCGGATCCCCCTGGGCCCAGGCCATCCCTACTCCAACAGGACACACCTGGGGATCAGACTGTGACAAGATCAGCTGGTGAGAAAGCCCCAGATCAGACACACACAGGGACAAATTCCCCCATGAGCACAGTGACACGTACATGCTGACAGAGCGCACACCCGAACACACTCCCTACCCAGATGCATACCCTTGCACACACACACATTGCTCATACACAATGAGCACACACACACACTGGTACACACTGCACACACACACTCCCATACACACTCTGACTCTTTCTCACACACAGCAGGGGCAGGACACACACCCAAGAGAGACGACTGCGCCTCACGTCCTCTCCAGCCCTTGCCTTTCCCCCAGACCCTGAGACTCAGGTGTTGCTGGGGGCGGGAGGGGAAGGACACAGTTCCCACTGACTTGGTTGGACATGGACATCTCCAAAAGCCAGGCCTGCCCCTCCCCTGGCTGGGTCGCTGCCCCTCATGATATTCAGGGACCTGGGCAGGGAACCTGAGCAGGGACTGGCTGGGGCAGGGGGTTGTGATTATGGGGTATCCAGGTCAGCCATTAAGGGGGTAGATTCACTGGGACACCAGGGCCGTGCGGTTAGAGGGTCGGGGATTCAGGACTTCTGGGTTCTATCCCTGTCTCTGGGAGAGGAGTGGTATCTAGTGGTTAGAGCAGCGGGGCTGGGACCAGAACTCCTGGGTTCCATTCCCATCCTTGGGGAAATACTGGGTTGAGCATTGCAGGGAGAGGTGCGCCAGGCATGGGGGCTGTGCGGCTCTCAGTGTCTCAGCTTCCCACCTAACACCCTGCCCCACCCAGCATCTTTGGGCCTCTCAGTGGGAGGAGCTGCCCCCATCCCAAACCCAACTTCCAAGTCGGGATCCATATAACAACACTGGAAGGGGAAGGAGACTCAGGGACGCTCAGCTCAGCTGGATCCATCTCTGAGGGGAGCCCCAGGAGTCACGTGAGCCAAGAACAGACCCCAGACAGCAGGGAAATGCAGAGGGAAGGTCAGTGTAGATTGAACCCAGGGGGGTGGGAGCAGAATTGAGCCCTGACCCCATTGCACACAGGGGATGACTCCGCATTGACGGTGGGAATAAAGATCAGAAACTTCGCAAGAGAGTGAATGCCTAATCCTAAAACCTAACCCTCCACCTCAACCTAACCCTCATCCTAACTGTAACGCTAACCCTAAATCCTAACACTAACTCTTAACCTCACCCTAACCCTTATTCTAACCATAATCCTAAACCTCAACCTAACGTCTAAACCTCACCTACAACCTCATCCTAACGCTAACCCCCAACCTTAACTCTAACCCTAACCCTACCCCAATCCCTAACTCTAATCCTAACCCTCACCCTAACCTTAACCCTAAACTTCACCCTCACCCTGACCCTAACCTCTAACACTCACCTGCAACCTCTTCCTAACCCTCACCCTAAATCCTAACCCAAACCCAACTGTCAATCTCACCCTAACCTTCACCCTAACCCTTATTCTAACCATAACTCTCATCCTAAGCCTCACCCTCACCCCTAACTTTAACTCTAACACTAACCTTAACCCAAAACCTCACCCTAGCCTCTCACCCGCAACCTCATTCTAATGCTAACCCTAATGCTATCTCTAACCCAATTCCTAACTCTAATCCTAACCCTCAGCCTTACCATAACCACTAACCCAAACCCTCACCCTAACCCCTAAACCTAACCCTTACTCTAATCCTAACCCCTAACCCTAAAGGTAACACTAACCCTAACCCTCACCTTAACCCTAACCCTATCTCCAAATCCTAACCCTTAACACTAACTCTCAACCTTACCCTAACCTTCACCCTAACCCTAATCTCTAACCCTCACCCTAATTCTAACCCTAACCCCTAAATTTAACCTTACCCAAACCCTAACCGCTAACATTCAACCTCAACCTAACCCTAAACCCTAACCCTCAATCTCACCCTAATCCTAACCGTTAACCTCAGCCTAACCCTCACACTAACCCTAAACTCTAACCCAACCCCAATCCCTAACTCTAATCCTAACCCCAACCCTCACCCTAACTCTACCCCAACCCCTAACTATAACCCTAACCCCTAAACCTAACACAAACACTAACTCTAACTGTAACCCTAACCCTTCCACAAACCCTAACCCTAAACCCTAACACAAACTCTCCCAAACCCTCACCCTAATCCTAACCCAAACCCTCACCCTAAACCTTACATTAACCCTAACCCTAACCTCTAACCCTCACCTTCAACCACTAACCCTAACCCTCACTCTAACCCTAGCTAAAAACCCTAAACCTTAACGCTCACCCTAACCTTAACCTCTAACCCTCACCCTAACCCCAACACAAACCCTAATGCTCACACGAACTCTAACCCTAACCCTTACTCTAACCACTAACCTTCACCCCCATCCTAACCCTAACTCTCTATTGCCTCCTCTCTATATTACGTTCTCTGTCCAGCTCTCTTCTCTTCCTTCTGAGACAACTTCTCTTAAACCTCACCCATCAGTTTGCTTGGTTCTCATTGTAAAACATTTTACAATACATTGTATGGAAGATGCTCTGACAGGGCTTGTCTAAACATCATTCTATCGGTTTAAAACTTATGTAAATTACTATGACCCCTCCTCCCCCCAGTGTGGATGCAATTATAAGCACCTTTATAACTGTGTCTACAATAGAGGTTGTGTCAACTGAACGATTTCAGTTAAAAAAAAATCAAATTTTATATCACTACAAAAACTGTGTATAGACCAGGCCTACAAAGTGAGCGTAAGAGGAGGTGGTTTATTGTACCAGGCTGCTGTTTTCTCACTGCTCTTCTGTACAATCCCTTTTGTTTTCCATTCTCCCACTACTGCTTCCCTTCCATGAATTCATCTACCCTTTTCCTGAACCCACCTGTACAATGTCCTCTGACCTTCCTGATTTGCTCTTCCCCTGAAGAGTTCTCTAACACATCCCCTTATTACAAAGGCTGGACTCAAGCCGTCAAAAGTGAAGTGATATGTAGAAATCTCTTTGCCCCAGAAGCAAAGAGGAGGAGGTGTCAACTAGCTGGAGGTTGGGTGCGGGTAAGAGGATGACTGAATTCCCCTCCTATTGTATGTGAGGTTTCAACTCTAGATTTAAAGAGGTTTATTGGGGAAACGTAACCCTTATTTCCATTTCAAGGAGAGCTCTACTATAAAACTTAATGTAACCTGAATTAAGTCAAAGTAGATCCAGCTCAGTTACCCATAGTAGTTTCTGCAGTAGTAAAAGATAAAACTTAACTGCTGATTTTTGTTGCTGTGATTGAATACACACTAGGAGCAGGTCAGTGGACTAAGAAGGAGGCACTACTACAGTCACTCTTCTGACCATAACTGTACTTCAAGTAGAACCTGATGGTAAAGAGGGCCAGCCTGAAGGAGTTCATACCCAGTGGCTTTGATGCTTATACGGTAGTCAATCCCCTCCGTTTCCCATGCCTGTGGTCTCATGTTTCTGCTTCATACGAATTTCAAGTGGGAAAAAAAAGAACTAATTTTTTTTCTATTTTTTCAAAAAGTGCCTAATGAAAAGTCAGTCCAAGACTTAACATCTGTTTAACAGTACAGCAGATCTTTAAAAATAATTACATTGTATAGTTTATATCTCATTTAGGGTTTTTACAACAAGCTGTTTGGATAAAGTGCAAAAGAAAAATAAACTCTGTATTTATACATTTTTTCCAGTGAAGTTTCTACTACATATTTGCAAATGTCACTGGTGCGAATGGCTAAATATTTACAGTAAAAACAGTCAGTTCTGTGCCATTTCTTGCTATTTAAGATCCATGTCTGGTTTCTTATCTCTCCAGTTCTGCTTCCAGTATTTCTCCCCATGTATCAGCATCCATGGGATACATGCTTTTTTCTGGTAAGCCACAGCGTGAGTGAATGTTGCTATATTTTCCACTTAGCCATTCATGCTTCACTTTGCTCTTCCAGTAGTTTCTCAGTAGAGTGACCTGATACAGGGTAAACAGTTAAAAAGCCTTGAAAAACTTGAATAAACTAAGCAGAAGCCAATGTAAACGTTGGGAGAACTAAAGTTTTACACCAGAAGAAGCATCTACATTATAACACATTTGGGTGTCTGGGCCCTCAATGCAATACATAGGTGTACAAATGCCCTCTAGTGGACCAGGGCTTTAACTTCACATTTTTCAGAGTAACATGAGGATCATTCTCACTTCTCAAATCTTCTGCCTCTCATCCCCACCCTTTCAAGCTAAATCCCTACCCTAAAGTAAATTTTTTTTTAAATCTTTCTATTTCTCTTCCCTATTCTGCAGGCCCCAAAATAATAGAAACTCTCTTGTGTGCTCTAGCAATAGGGTGGTTGGGTTCCTCTGTTGGGATGTTCCCTGCTCATGAAGGGAGGTACTAACTTATTGACTTTTTGACACATGTAGCTTGTTACCTCAACCCTGGACATTAGGAGGCAGAAGTAGCTGTCTGGGAGAAGGATCTAGGGCAGAGAAGGCCTATGGGAGGAGACATGGAAATGGCCATATAACTGGAGAAAGTCTGGACTAGGATTTGTGATGTTTGCTTTGTTAATGAAGCCAGATGCCAGGAAGGTGTTGAGTTTGGATTTCAGTGTGTCTACTATCTTCAGAGCAGCATGAGTACTCCATCTGCTCACAGCCTTGCCTCCTTGTGAGCTCTTGCCTCATACTGAACTACTAAAACACTTCCTCAGAGAGGAAATGAGTCTAAAACTGTGTAACTCTGAGTTCCACTGACCAGTGATCTATGCAGAGGTAGACTTAAAGCCCCAAAAGAGGTGGCTGTACTTTCTTTCAAACTAGTGCTGGTTGAGGGTGGTGGTTGCAATGTCTGAATCCATTCCCTCTCTGAGCTGCTAAGTCCTGCAGGCTGGATTCTATAAGTATGATGCTATAGCTGTCATAAGAATGGTCATACTGGGTTAGACCAGTGGTCCATCTAGCCCAGTACCCTGTCTTCTGATAGTGGCCAATGCCAGGTGCTTCAGAGGGAATGAACAAAACAGGTAATCATCAAGTGATCCATCCCGTCACCCATTCCAGGTTTCTGGCAAACAAAGGCTAGGGAAACTTCAGAGCATGGTTTTGAATCCCTGCCCATCCTGGCTAATAGGTCCATCAATGGCTATCCTCCATGAACATAGCTAGTTCTTTTTGAACGCTGTTATAGTCTTGGCCTTCACAATATCCTCTGGTAAAGAGTTCCACAGGTTGACTGTGTGTGGTGTGAAGAAATACTTCCTTTTGTTTGTTTTAAATTTGCTGCCTATTAATTTCATTTGGTGACCCTGAGTTCTTGTGTTAGAGTAAATAACACCTTCTCCTATTTTATTTACTTTCTCCACACCAGTCATGATTTTCTAGACCTCTATCATAACCTTAGTAGTCTCTTTTCCAAGCTGAAAAATCCATTTTATTAATCTCTCCTCATATGGAAGCTGTTCCATACTTCTAATCATGTTTGATGCTCTTTTCTGTACTTTTCCCAATTCCAATATATCTTTTTTGAGATGGGATGACATATCTGCACGTAGTATTCAAAATGTGGGCATACCATGGATTTATACAGAGGCAATATGATATTTTCTGTCTTATTATCTATCCCCTTTCTTGAGTGGTAACAGCTAATTTAGATCCCATCATTTTACATGTATAGTTGGGATTGTTTTCCAATGTGCATTACTTTGCATTTATCTACATTGAATTTCATCTGCCATTTTGTTGCCAAGTCACCTAGTTTTGTGAGATCCTTTTGTAGCTCTTTGCAGTCTGCCTGGGACTTAACTATCTTGCGTAGTTTTGTATCATCTACAAATTTTGCCACCTCACTGTTTAACATATTCATAAATGAGCTGGAAAAAGGGGTAAACAGCACTGGTCCCAGTACAGACCCTTGGGGGACACCACTATTTACCTCTCTCCATTCTGAAAACTGACCATTTATTCCTACCCTTTGTTTCCTATCTTGTAACCAGTTACCGATCCAGGAGAGGACCTTCTTATCCCATGAGTAGGGCCCTACCAAATTCATGGCCATGAAAAACGCATCACAGACCGTGAAAGCTGGTCTCCCCTGTGAAATCTGGTCTTTTGTGTGCTTGTACCCTATACTATACAGATTTCATGTGGGAGACCAACATTTCTCAAATTGGGGGGGTCACAAGGTTATTTTAAGGAGTCTGTGGTATTGCCACCCTTACTTCTGTGCTGCCTTCAGAGCTGGGCGGCTGGAGAGTGGCAGCTGTTGGCCAGGTGCCCAGCTCCGAAGCCAGTGCCCTGCCAGCAGCAGTGCAGAAGTAAGGGTGGCAATACCATACCATACCACCCTTACTTCTGCATTGCTTCCTTCAGAGCTGGATGGCTGGAGAGAGGCAGCTACTGACTGATGTGCCAGCTCTGCAGGCAGCAGCGCAGAAGTAAGGATGGCAATACCATACCATGTCATCCTTACTTCTGTGCTGCTGCAGACAGCAGCTCTGCCTTCAGAGCTGGGCTCCCGACCAGCAGCCACCACTCTCCAGCTGCTCAGCTCTGAAGGCAGAGCCGCTGCCAGCACCAGTACAGAAGTAAGGGTAGCAGTACAGCAACCACCCTACAATAAACTTGCAACCCCCTACAACTTCTTTTTGGGTCAGGACCCCATCAATTACAACACTGTGAAATTTCAGATTTAAATAGCTGAAATCATGAAATTTACGATTTAAAAAATCCTATAATCGTGAAATTGACCAAAATGGATAGTGAATTTGGTAGGACCCTACCCATGAGAACTTACTTTGCTCAAGAGCCTTTGATGAGGAACCTTGTCAAAGACTTTCTGAAGATCTCAGTATACTATATCCACTGGATCACCCTTGTCCACATGCTTGTTGATGGCCTCAAAGAATTCTAGTAGATTGCTGAGGCATGATTTCCCTTAACACTTTTTGTAGACTCTTCCTTCACAAATCATGTGTCTGATCATTCTTTTCTTTACGATAGTTTCAACCAATTTGCCTGGTACTGAAGTTAGGCTTACTGACTCCTAATTACCAGGATCGCCTCTGGAGCCCTTTTTCAAAAATTAGGATCACATTAGCTGTCCTCCAGTCATCTGGTATAGAAGCTGATTTAAATGATAAGTTTAGTAGTTCTGTAACTTCATATTTTAGTTCCTTCTGAACTCTTGGGTGAATACCATCTGGTCCTGGTGACTTATTACTGTTTATTAATTTGTTCCAAAACCTCCTCTAATGACACCTCAGTCTGGGACATTCCTCAGATTTGTCACCTAAAAAGAATGGCTAAGGTTTGGGAACTTGGCCCCACTGGTTGTTTAGCAGGCTTCCTGCTTCTGATGTACTTAAAAATGTTTTTGTTATTACTCTGAGTCTTTCATTGGCTGTTCTTCAAATTCTTTTTTGGCCTTCCTAATTATATTTTAACACTTAAGTTGCCAGAGTTCATGCTTTCTCTATTCCTCAATAGGATTTCACTCAACATGTTCAGCTCCTCCTCACTGTTTTGAGTAGCAGCTGCAATGGTGCTGGGTAAGGGGGTTCTAAAGCAGCTGGTTCTTTGACCCCTAGCTGTATCTGGCTTAAGAGGCGTGTAGGGGCAAAAACTTCTCTAGATCAGCAGATTCCAGGCACCCCTTCTCTCCCAGCAGGAGTATTCCACTGAAGTAAAATTATGGGGAACATGTATGTAAAACTGTGTCCCTTTCGCAATGTGTTCCATTCCAGAGCTGGACTGATCATTTCTCAGGGACCAGGTAGTTCACTGTCTCTATGGTACTCTTATTTTTTGGCATCTCTGCACAGACTGCCAGTTGTGATGGTGTTTGTGATACTATTTCACTACGGCCTGGTCTACACTACAGAGTTAGGTTGATGCAAGGTGGCGTATTATGACCTAATTATGTCAGTGTCTACATTAGAATGCTGCTTCTGATGAAGGAAGTCACCTGCTACGCGGACATAACTCCATCTCCATGAGAGGTGTAGCGCTTATGTTGATGCAGTTAGACAGTGATTAACTGACATAGCCTGTTGGCTTTCAGCCCCAAGTGGGGGTTGTCAGCTGGAGTCCTTCTACTCTCTGGTGGGGATAGCCTGAGCTGTCAGTTGTGGGTGCTTGCTCGCAGCTGGGGCCCCCATGCCCTGGCACTGACAGCTGGGTGAGCCCTGCACCCCACTGACAGCTTGGGCTGCTAGGCTCCAGATCTGTGTCCTATAATGCCCCACTTCAGTTGGTGGAAGCACTCCTGGTGAGGACGCGCACTGCCGACCGAAGGAGTAAGTGTGGCTGTGAACTACCACTTTTAATTACTGTGGAGGCTGTACTTCGACTTAAGTCAACTTAATTTTGTAGTGTAAACAAGCCCTGAGATCTCACAGGCTGTAGCTATTAGATGGTAACAACTTTGAATTGCTCTTGACCTTGGATGAATCAGAAATACTGATCAGGAGAGAACCTCACATATCTTAATTCTCATCCTGAAAGCTACCCAGTTTCCCAAAGCTAGACAGTCCATGTTCTTAAATTTACCTTCCATGAATATCCATTTCCTCGATCACAGTCTATCTCTCGCTGACAGACAGCTCTTACAGTTAAACAGTGATGTTTCCACAAATGGTCACTGTTCTCAATTGCACGATTCCAGCTCTTGCAGGTCATTGCAGCTTTGCATAAACTCTGAATATCCAGTTCACTGAAAATTTTAAAACTGACTTCTGGAGGCAGCAGCTCTACAAAGTCCTCCCGATTTTCCTCTTTTTTCTTGGCTGGAGGAAGGATGGTCAGTTCTTTACACGAAGCAAGTGCCTGTTTGTTCTTCTTTGAGGCTTTCTGCATAATTTAAGGCCTCAATACATCCACCATGAGTAACCCTGGGGGTGAGGAAGTACAGTGGTCACTAAACAGCCTCACATGTAGCTGGTTGCATGCCCTGATCGCTGATCTCAATTACAGAATACATGGAGTTAACTTTCACCAAGTTAACGCTAATTTTGAAGGTTATGTTAAAGTGCCTCCTGTATTAAACAGCATGCTATGCCTCGTGCCCTGGCTGGCCCAGCCCTCTAGGGTGACCAGATGTCCCAATTTTATAGGGACAGTCCCGATATTTGGGGCTTTTTCTTATACAGGCTCTTATTACCCCCCACACGCTGTCCTGATTTTTCACACTTTCTATCTTGTCACCCTACAGCCCTCAAACAGTGCAGGATGGGTCACCAGTGACCCTCGTGTTTGCCCAGCCCTCGGCAATCACTCCACCCTTGTACGGTGCCCTGTGCTAAGGCTAGGCTAGCCCAGCCTCCAGGCGTTAGGCAAGAGATAGACGGTGCCCTGTGCCCAGTCCCCAGGCAAGAGATAGACGGTGCCCTGCTTGTGCTCAACCATCAGGCGCCCGAGCCCGCTGCCGAGCCCGGCCCCGCCTCGGAGCTCGCCTGGCCAAGCCGTGGCTGGAGCCCGCTCTCATCCCCCAGCCGCCCGCGGCGAAGGCAGGTGGAGGGAAATTCCAGCCCGGCAGGCCGCCCCCTACCTGGCCCCGCGCTGCTGCCCCCAAGGTGACGGTTTAAACGTCTCCCCCATTCGAACGTGTTTGTTTACACCGCCGCCCACTGGCTTCCCGAGGCAATGCGCATGCGGCGGGGGCTGTTGAGGTAGGGCACGCCGGGATTTGTAGTTTCCCCGCGGCGACGCGCAAGCGCGGCCGGGCGGGTAGGGTGTGCGTTGGAAACTACCGTTTCCGGGATGGCCGGCCGAGCGGTGGGCGGTGGTGCGGGGATTTAAACACAAACAGCGGCAGCCTGCCCCGCCTCCTAGCACGGAGGGAAACGGAAGGGAGAGGAACCTCCCTGCGTGGCGCGAGTTTCCGGAGGGGCCAGCGGGGCCTGGTCCCTGTCCGCAGGCGGAGAGCCCCCCAGCGACGCCCATGCCGGGGTTCGAGCTAGCGCCCGCGGACGGGGGCTGCCCGGTGGCGCTGCAGCCCGGCCAGACAGTGCTGGGAAGAGGCCCCCTGCTGGGAGTAAGTCTGGCTCCTCGGCAGGGGGGTGGGGGGCTCCCTGACCCCGCTGCCGCCCCCAGCCCAGTGCCAGCGAGCCCAGGAGCCGCCTCGGGGGAGGCCTGGCGCGGGCCTGCCCCTAGCCCCAGGCCGGGCCGGGCGCTGGGCACCCCGCAAGTTCCACTTGGGGCTGGAAGGGACCATGGGCCTCGGGCAGAGCTAAGGCTCTCCGACTTCATCCACAGCCTTGCGGGGGGACCTCTGGCCCCGGGAACCAAATGAAGATGGGGGTGACTAAGGAATAACAGGGTCAGGAGTGACGGTCACAGGTTCAGAACTAGGGCTCTAGCGGGGGACACCGAGCAGAGAACCCCGGACAGTGCCCACTGCGCCTCAAACCTGTTTAGGGAGCCAGCGGGTGCTGCCCAAAGGAACTCTGCCCGGATGCGGGAGACTAGGGAGAGCAGAAATAGGCCCTGCAGTTGCAGAGCACTCCCTCATCTAACATCCTCCTCCTGGTGTTGTAGAGGCTACTTTGGCCAGGGCAAGGAGGAGGTTGATGAGGCGGGCTCGTGACTTGGTGGGGCCATGGACAGGGTGTGCAAATATAAACCGGTGTGGGGAAAAGTGCAGCCAGGACCTCAGCAGGAGGTTCTGGAGGAGCTGCAAGAGGGGCTGCAACCTGATGCATTCGAGATAAGCATGCACCAGGTTCTCCCTCATACCACAAAAGGGGCGGGTGTCAGGGACGGGGGTGAACTGTGCCAGGTACATGCCCGTGCTCACGGCTCCATAGATGAGCCACTAACCAATATCCCCGTCAGGCCATGGGACCAGGGTGGAATAGAGGCTGGCCCCCCCCCCCATACGGAGGAAGGTGGAATCAGAGCCCTCCAGCTTCTTTCAAGTGTTTCTCCATAATCTGGAGTGATAGGAAACTTGTGTTAACAAAAACAGAGATTCTCCTTTAACGTGACTCTAGGAGCTGGGGCTTTAAGAGAAATTCTAAACATTATGAGACTAACAAATCGTATGGGTTGGCGACGCTGACTTATTTCCTGTTTGCATAAACATCACTTTCCCGATTCTCTCCCAAATCAGAGGAAATTAGGGGTTGAACAGGGGAGAGGGGATAGCATCAGTCTCCCAAACTTTCTGCCAACACAAACTAAGTTCTGCTCTGAGACATCAAAGCAAGACTTCACTTACAGGAAACTTGAATAATAACACAATATTGTCTCGTGCTCTTGTGTGCTTTCATCAACCGTGAAATAACTAATAATGTTAACATATCCTTAACAGTAGCCTTCAGAGTTCCCAACCCATTGAAATGTATAGGGACAATGAACATTTTTCTCAGAGCTCTTTTTTCAGACTTGTGCCAATTTCACTGCATCCATTACATTTAATAATGTGAGAAGTGTAATCTTTGCAGCCATATGGGCAAAAGTCCCCTCCTTTTTTATTTTATTTATTTATTTTTTGAGTGAAATCTTAAGATTTAGAGCAGTGGTTCCCAAATTTTTTATGAAGGTGACTCACCAATTGCATTTTCTCTCCTTCTTTGTGTGTGTGCGCGATCCACCCAGGGTCCAAATGTGCATGTTTGTGGGGCCCACTTCATAGGCTGGTGATGTTCTCCACTGCCTCTCTGCTCCACTGAGGGGGCATTGACCACCTGCAGCAGTACCTTCTGCCCTGACACTTCAACCTTAATCCCAGCCCAGTGCAGCGGGGAGGCCCTGGCCCGGGAGGAAGTTGGAGAGCAAACCTGCCTCACAGTCACCTAGCAGCAGTGGTTCCAGTCTTACAGGGCAGGGCCTGGCTCGCTGCTCTGGGTGTTGTGACCTGGCGCACTGGGTCTCAGCACCACTCGGGTTTGTCCTGATGGCTGAGTGAAACCTGAGTGGGGATGTGACCTGTGTGCCAGGTCACAATGCCCGGAGTGAGGAGGCAGGCTCACCCCTGTGGGGCAGGAGCTGCTACTGCTAGTGAGAGCAGGACAGGCTCACTTTTCAAGCCTGCCACTCCTTCCTGTGGCTTCCTCTCTGCACTGGGCCTGCAACCCACCATTCAGGAAACACTGCTTTAGAGGACAAGATGGCATCCTCCAGAAAAATCACCTCTTCTCCTGAAGCACTGTGTACAAATTTAAAGTGAAACAATTTTCTCAATAGTAACTTCAGGTATACTTGTAACAATAGGTTGGTAATAACATTTCAGAAAGATGTGACTTAAGTTGGCAGTGTCTCTTCCAACAAAACTTTTTTTGCAGATAGTTTCGAGGTATGTCTACACTATTGGTGCTACAGTGACAGCTGTACAGCTTTAGCACCATAGCATAGACCCTTCCTATATCTAGGAAAGGGATTTTTCCATTGGTGTAGGTATTCCACATCCCTGAGCGGCAGTAGCTAGGCCAGCAGAAGAATTCTTAACTTGGAATTCTTAAGGTTGGCTTAACTATGGCACTCAAGGGTGTGAATTTCTTACACCCCTGAGCGATGTAGTTATGTCAGTCTAAATGTTCAGTGTAGACCAAGGCTTGCACTCACTTCACTCAGCCATATCAACGCTTAGTGCCTAATTGCTATGGTATCTTTCTCTAGTTGGCAAATGTGGCTGCATTCACCAAAAGCTTATATACGAGTCTGTTAAGTAGTTTTAGATTTGGGGGAGAGAGTTCAAGATAATCTAATACAAATGGTGTTAGTATTTTTAAACTCATTTAAAACAGTAGGATACATTTTTGCCCTTAGTTACACCCTGTACAAACCAGTGGATTTAACTAGGGGCAGAATTTGATCAGCTGTTTTCTGTGTTTAATTTACTCTTCAGTAATGCTAGTGCCCACAGTCAGAATAGTGTGCATGAGAAAAGTGAGATTGACTAGAAAAGCTTGTGAAACTCATCAGTGTGGATTCATTATACTAGATGTGGAATGCAAAAACGAAACTGTATATGTAGTAATTAGTTGTAATAAGTTGGTAATTTTCACTCCATGCATCTGAAGAAGTGAGTTTTTTACCCACGAAAGCTTATGCCCAAATAAATCTGTTAGTCTTTAAGGTGCCACTTGACTCCTTGTTGTTTTTGTGGATACAGACTAACAGTTACCCCCTGATACTTGTATAAGTAGTGGAAAATAAATACAACTTTCAGTGTTCTACACATTCTAATATACTAAATTACTTAACATTCCATCTTTTTTTCCAGCTCTTAGGTAGACACATGTCTGCATAATCCCAGCCCAGAGGGCTAAGCACCATATTAAATACCCGGATTAATATATCCCATTTATGCTGTTAAAGAATCCATCTGCTGTAGTTTGTAGTGGTAGGAAAGGTGTAGTGAGGGGAGGGAGCCAGTCTTTTTAAAAGAAATTCTTCTGGTTGCATTCAAATTGGGCCCTTTTCACATTTAGATATCCTTTATTGCCTAGGGTTTTTGCACTAAGCCATTATTTTGTGTTTGTCCCTTTGACTGATCTTCCTCTGAAGAGGGCAGGTACATTTTTCCAATTGGCATGATGGCTCATTCACAGTCAGCATAATTAGCATTACATTAAAAACAACAAGCTGTCCTGTTCTAGGCTTCTCTCTAGTAATATAGCTATATAATAAATAAATGGAACTTCCTGAAGTACGTATTCAGATTGTCCAACTCTGCTGCCCAAGCTTCAAAGTTTTCCTGGAGAAAATCAAGCACTTGTAGCAATATTAATGAATAGTAAATGAAACGCTGTGAGTGGAACAGGTAGACAGATCAGCACGGGGTCAAATAGTTATGAAAGTGTGTGTGTGTGAGGGGCATAAGCAATCTGACTGGTTTAAAAGCTACATAGTCTTCATATGCATAGACTGGAAGCCTTTTCAGCTAGTCAGATTATTCCAGGGTGGATTTGATTTAAATCAAATTGATTTAAATCATGATTTAAATCACTAGTCAGGAAAACTCGATTTAATCATGGATTTCTACATAAAAGGGCATTCTTGTTGGTTGTTATAACCTTAATACATATTCTTCACAACTCAGAGATAGATGTAGGTTTCATTTTTAGAAGGTACACGCTATACATTTTTTAAGTGATTTATTTGGAAAACTTTTCAGATGAGTTTTACAGCTATATCAGAAAATGAATGATTGGTTATTTCATTTACCAAAGGTAATTGAAGTAGATATTTATGAAGTCATTGGGAGGTGAACTATCTCCAATTCAACAGGTTCATCATTAATATTTGGCGGATTTTCTTGCCATGCTGTATTAGGAGGAGAACATCACCAGACAGACATTGAAATTGTTTTATTTAACTAAAACAACGTTATGTATTCTGGATTTTTTTCTTCAACAGCAAACATATAATATTTTAACAAAACAAGCATATGATTTTTTGAATTTAGTTAAACATTCAAGTTTTTTAAAATCAGGTTTGTTTTTGTTAAAATTGTTTTTAACTAAAATAGTTAAATATTTAAAAACAAAAAAACAACAATTAAATTGACTCTGTCAGCCAGGTCAACATGAGAAACTTAAAATATTGGCTTCTGCAGCTAACTCAGTCATCTTCACCTTCATTTTCCTCTTTGTTCATAATCTGGAAATGAAAAACAAGCTTTCCTGCTTTTTCAGGTCCCAAACGATTTCTCAGTTTGGAATGAATTAGTCCAAAGGAAGAAAATATTCTTTCTACACCGGCAGAAGAAGCTACTGCTGTTAAAAGTGAGATTATCACTTCAACAGTCTCTGAATCCAAGAGCTTAAGTGACTTCCACCAGTTCACTGGTGTAACTTTCTTTAAAACATATCAGCAAACATATTTCTTGAATGGTTCTTATTCCCAAACCGGGTCTCTTTTACAGCTTGCTGACATTATAGGTTTTCCTTTCTAGTGAGAGAATGGTATGGTAGATCTCAAATCAGTGAAGGCTCTCTCAGAAAGACTTCAAGACTTCTGGAATATGCTGCTCAAACAGTTTCACTTTTGTTTCTACTGCCTGTCCCTCCCTTCTCACATTTATCTCCAGACTTCTTCTCCTTGTCCAGATCTATTCCTCCCCCAACAATCTTCTATTCATTGAACTTTTTGAAACTTTGCACTTTTGGAGAGAGGTAAGGGATTGACTCTGTATACACACATTTGCAGAGGGACGATAGGGTTGAGGTCTGTTATTTCTGACCTCTATATACACCTCTACTCTGATATAACGCTGTCCTCAGGAGCCAAAAAATCTTACCGTGTTATAGGTGAAATCGCATTATATCGAACTTGCTTTGATCTGCTGGAGTGTGCAGCCCCACCCCCCTGGAGCGCTGCTTTACTGCGTTATATCCGAATTCATGTTATATCAGGGTAGAGGTGCATTATTTATTTATTTATTTTAAAAACATTTTTTGCTGTTAATAAGCATATTATCTCTGAAGATACAAATCCACAGTTTGAGAACTGCAAAACTAAGCATCTCTGATGGTATCTTCTAGACTGAGCACTGAGTCCCATTGGGTAGATAGAAAGATTAACCTGAATAATCTATACAGAAGCCCCTGGAACCGCATAAGATTGGATCCCTAATCCATGAATTATTGGAACTCATTTACAAAACTTTTCTTAAACATTACATGAATATATTGTCTCATACTCTAGAATTAGAATTTATAATCCCTATTCCATGATGAGATATTTTTGAGCTATAATGTATCTTAATTAAAACTATCTTTAGATAGGATTTTTCCTCAAAAAGCATTTTATCAAAAAAATCTGATTTAAATAAAATTCTGTTTTTTATTGTTTTTTTAAAATCATTAATTTTTATCCACTCTGGATTATTCTCATTTAAGTTACTTTCTGCTATTAGATGGCCATTTGTTGTTTCTCATGTATACCTGGGTTCACTTTTGTATTTGTATTTTAAGAGCATATATAATGTAGTTTTAAGATGAGTTCGTGGTTGGTTCAAAGAGTTGTGCACAGGGAAATGTTGCTTCTTCATGGGCTGTATTTCAGAAATTGGACCACTAGGCTGTTTCTGATCTGTGCTGTTGAATTATATTTGACTTTAGTTTAACTGAGGCATTTTTTCATTTTGTAATGTTTTATGGCTTGAATGTATTCCTTATTAATACATAGAATACCTGCTAGCTGACTTCTAATATACACCGCTACCTTGATATAACGTGACCCGATATAACATGAATTTGGATATAACGCGGTAAAACAGTGCTCCGGGGTGGGGGGCGGGGCTGCGCAGTCCAGTGGATCCAAGCAAGTTCAATATAATGCGGTTTCACCTATAACGCAGTAAGATTTTTTGGCTCCCGAGGACAGCGTTATATCGAGGTAGAGGTGTATTTTACTTTGTCAGCATTTGCTTTAATGAGAGCTGCTTTAGTTGCTTGTCTGCATGCTTAATTGCTTTTCAAAGGCTAAGCTGGTAGCTAAAGAATGGAGGAGGACCGCTTCATGAGGCTCCCAGACTTGCTGTTGTAATATGTTAGACTTAACTGCTCTACGATCTTCGGATTTCTGAAGAGCTGAGGATGTCAGTTGAGGAAGGCTTTACTTGGGGGAGGCTGCTGATAAGATCTTTGCAGGCAATGCTTCCCCTATTTAATGTGGGGATGTGTGAAAGATTTGTTTGGATCACTTTCTCTGGCACTGGAAATGTCAGTGGATATGAGCAGGCCATTGGCAGTGGGAACACTTCTTCCCATATTAACTACATTGTCCTTCTGTGGAAAGAGATGAAATCATGTCCACTATGTCGAAACCTCATTTGTAGAACTGGAGTAGGGCTGAAAAAATGTAAGACACCTACTAGCAAGAGACCAGTAGGAAAGATGAGCAGTGGTGGGGAAGTTTGAGAGATCCAAAGGCAACACACTGAGAATTCCAGCCCTCACACCCAACTGTTGGTAGAGGGGCTGGTGCTGGGATTCTTATCAGTGGACTTGACTCAGATCATGCTCCAGTTTTCGTATTGGTTTCTGCCTAGTGGGTGTTTGAAAATCGAAAGCCATACCAGCAGCCTCTGGCTGATAAAAAGAAAGAACTCTCTCTCAGCTTGCTCTCTCAGAACCTCCTGATTGCTGCAGAGCCATGCTGGCTTGGGTGCCTTTGTTGCTTTACCCCGCCTTCAGTCTCCTGGCAGCAATCAAAGTGGTGCTGGGAAGGATCTATAGATTGAGGTGGATCTCTGTTACTCTCTCCAAGCTTCTGTGTTCTGTTTTATTCTAATGCTTACATCTGCTGGTGTTCATAGCTTTCTAAAACAGCAGAATGTAACTGATCTATCAGTTGTTTGCAGATGAAGAGCTCTGTGTAGCTTGAAAGCTTGTTTCTCTTACCAACAGAAGTTTGTCCAATAAAAGATATTCCCTCATCCACCTTGTCACTGTTATCCGTTTAATTGACCACACGTTCTTAACAGCAGGAGTGAAACCACTCTGAGTCCTTTTGATTTCTCTCTGTCACCTGGCAAAACTAAGAGCAGCAGAGATATGAGAACAGTATCTTCTAACTCAATGTAGTTCCTTTATCTCTATCTATGAACATTGTGTCAGTGTTGGCGAAAACCATGGAAGCTGCAGACCCCAGCTCAGATAATAGCCACTACTAATAGAAGTGGAAAGGGGAAGTGCCCCACAATGACTATCCCAAATATCAATGCAAGTCCCATGATCACATGTGCTTGGCTTCCTCACTGACATGTAGCAGACATACACTGGGACCTCCCCCCCCACACTCTGTTATGATGGTGATGTAGTCTGCTACCATCTTTGTTCATGGAGTGTGTTGGTTCTTATTCACTTACCTCAGATTGGCATGTAGAATGCTTGGCAGTCTGGCAGAATCATGGATGCTTATGTGCTACTGCACACCTTCCAAGCACTGACCTTGAGGTTATTGTGTGTACAAGGGTCTATGGCCATTAGCCATTAATTAGGATCCTGTGGTATCATGGGCTTGTTCTTGCCACAATAGCAGCTTGATGGATTATTTTACTAGTTAATTATCTTGTTCTAAAATTGGACTTTGATTCCTAACAAGGATAGTAAATTTTGTTGTTCCTGGCCAACAACAGTACTCATTCTTATTGTCATGGGGTTTCTAGTGACTTGGACCTAATAGGGTGTTCTCAGTAATCATACAGCACTTTGTTTCTTACAACACTGCTATATATACACCATACACATGCTTACTGTATTCTCTCTCTGGCTTGGAACATTTCACACAACATGCCACCTCTTAATTTATGCTGCTTTTGCCATTAAGGGTGTGAATTTCTCCTGGACTAGTACCTATTCCCCTTCTCCCATCTATGACACTCCCTTTATGTCCAGATTCAGTGGGCTCTAAACTGTTTCATCTTCCTTCTTAAGATAATACGTTAGGACCCTGTCCTGAAGTAGCACATTTATGCTTATCCTGTGCAAGCTTTGTTTCTTTCCCTAGCTTTGCTCTTGCAGCACTTGTTTAATATTTTGCATGCAATGTTTGTTTGTAGTAAGTGCCTACAATGAGAGAAAAAGTCTAATTTTTTCAATTGAATTTTTACTGGTCAACTTTAACATGTTTTACCTTCAGTAATCTTTCAGATGTATTTTCTTGTCTAATAATCTCATATAGAGCGACTGTGTTTTCTCTTATGAACTTATTTGGTTAAGTGAAGTAACATAGTTCCTCACTAGAGGTCACAACATACACTTGTAATTCTGGTAGCAGTTTTCTGCCAGTTTGAATACACATCTTTAAACCTAATAAACATTGAGAGAAATGAATTATAGTTTCCTACAAAGATGTAATTGGATCTTTTTGCTGTCTTGAATGTCACACTTAAAGGAAATGTGTGAACAGGAAAAACTTTCCTTGCAAATAGCAGCAGGTTTCTAGTTAACCCATCAATATTAGTTTTGCTGCATATACAGAAGAGAGAGCTCTCTCACTGTAATAAATAATATTAAAACAAATGACTCTGGCAAAATCTCATTAGAGCTCCAAACTTCTCCAAATGAAAAAACAGGAGAATTAGCATCTGTTACACTGGATTAAAAATTATCTCAATTTTTTAAAACTGCGTGTTCCTCACAAAATGTTCTTGTAATGCCAGTTCTTAGGAAATAATAACTTTTTTCCTGAGTTTTGTAAGCCTCCGGGTACTGTCTCTACTTCAGTTTTTGTGTCAGTGTTTCTAGGATTAACTGTTTGTCTGCTGTGGTGGTGGAATTTACTGGAGTTACCCTGAAACTTTCTTTATAGAAAACATGAATTCCTGCTCTCTGTATGCTAGTAGCTTTGAGACAAGCACAGCACTCTATAACATTTCAAGACACATTACTGTCTCTTCTAAGAAGTACTGTCAGACCTTGAAAAGTCATGAGATTTTGACAAATGGTAAATTCTGGGGTTTTTTGCTTGCCTTTGGATATTTGAGCTGGCAGGGCTCATATTCTCAAGCTTTTCTCCACACTGAGGCTAGAAAGTTAATTTCTGTATTTAAAATAGTATAACTTCAGGCACCCAGTTCTGAAAATCTTGATCTTAATGTTTTAATCTAGTTCTAATACAGAATTTTTCTTTATTTTTTTAAACTAATTGTGTTATGTGGAACTACTTACAGGGCATCAGAAACCTACAGCCTGCATGAACTGTACTCAATGAGACCTTGTAATCTGCTTATTGGTTTATCTTGATTTGATTTTTGTTTGCTTGTTTGCTATAATGATTCGAGATATGAGTGCCATAATTTGCTCTTATCTCAACTGCCTGTCTTTTTTTCAGATTACAGATAAGAGAGTATCCCGAAAACATGCCACATTGGAAGTGGTGGGTGACCAGCTTCGCATCAAACCGGTAACTTGACTTTTTTGTATCAGAGGGGTAGCCGTGTTAGTCTGAATCTGTAAAAAGCAACAGAGGGTCCTGTGGCACCTTTAAGACTAACAAGTACTGGGAGCATAAGCTTTCGTGGGTAAGAACCTCACTTCTTCAGATGCAAGTCTCTGTTGCTTTTGACTTTTTTGTTGATTCTGTAACAGTCAAACTACACCAGAAGAAAGCTACTTTGATATTAGATACAAATGGATCTAAGTAATTCTTAATGAAAAGCTATGTTAGAAGTAGAAATTGATCAGGAATGTCTGAAAATAAAGCTACTGAATTAAAGTGGTGACCCATAGAATCAACACTGCTTTTTCTAAAAGGTGATCGTGGAGTGAAACTGGCATTCTCCAAGGATGGGAACATGCTTTACAAACATCAGTATACTCATTATACCTGTCCGGTTATATCCCAGTTTTTTCGAGACTGTGAATTGCCTCAGTTCACAGAGGAAAAATAAAGGGATGGTAGAGTAATGAACAAGAGCCAGTTCACCTGACACCTCACCCCCACTCCCCATTATGTACAGACCACCCCTTTTTTCATTGGCATATCTGTATTCTGCCATCAGATGATTTCCAATAATTTGCTTTTATTTTTATCTGTTACAACAGTGTAGCACTGGATATACCTAAGAAATATAGAACATAATTATGGAAATGCTGATTGTGACTCCATAGTTAGTTCAGTTTTTCACTTAAAGCAGGGATAAATCCTCCTTTGTATGAAAAATAGGGTATCCTCACTAAGTTTACAGCACTTACTGTGTACAGAATGAATTTTCTGAAAATTTGTAAGAAAATCTGATAATTTGTTGAAGTGAAAATTAAATTGAGTCCTTTCAGAAAATTCGCTTTTATCAGTCTTTTCTTTTGACCTGAATGATCTTAATGGAATAATGCAGATTCTTAAGAACATAAAGTTAAGAATGGCCATACTGGATCAGACATGTGGTCCATCTAGTTCAATATCCTGTCTTCTCACATTGGCTGGTGCCAGATACTTTAGAGCAGGGGTCGGCAACCTTTCAGAAGGGGTGTGCCGAGTCTTCATTTATTCACTCTCATTTAAGGTTTCGCGTGCCAGTAATACATTTTAACGTTTTTAGAAGGTCTCTTTCTATAAGTCTATATTATATAACTAAACTATTGTTGTATGTAAAGTAAATAAGGTTTTTAAAATGTTTAAGAAGCTTCATTTAAAATTAAATTAAAATGCGGAGCCCCCCGGACCAGTGGCCAGGACCCGGGCAGTGTGAGTGCCACTGAAAATCAGCTCGCGTGCCGCCTTTGGCACGCGTGCCATAGGTTGCCTACCCCTGCTTTAGAGGGTATGAACAGAACAGGGTAGTTCATTGACTGATCCATCCCGTCCCAGTGTCTGGCAGTCAGAGGTTTAGGGACACCCAGAGCATGGGATTGAGTCCTTGACCATCTTGGCTAATAGCTATTGATGGAAATATCCTCTGTAAAGTTATCTAACTCTTTTTTGAACCCAGTTATACTTCTGTCCGTCACAGTATCCCCAGCAACAAGTTACACAGGCTGACTCTGTTGTCTGAAGAAGTACTTCCTTTTATGTGTTTTGAACCTGCTGCCTGTTAATTTTATTGGGTGACCCCTGGATCGTATGTTATGTGAAGGGGTCAATAACACTTCCTTATTCACTTTCTCCATGCCATTAATGATTTTATAGTCCTGTCAGATCCTCCCTCAGTCATCTCTTTTCCAAGACGAACAATCCCAATCTTTTTAATCTCTTCTCATATGGAAGCTATTCCATACCCTTATCATTTTTGTTGCTCTTTTCTGTACTTTTTCCAATTCTAGTAGATCTTTTTGAGCTGGGGCGAACAGAACTGCATGCAGTATTCAAGGTGTGGGCGTACCATGGATTTATATAGTGGCATTATGATATATTCTGTCTTGTTATTTATCCCTTTCCTACTAGTTTCTAAAATTCTGTTAGCTTTTTTGACTGTTGCTGCTTATTGAGCGGATGTTTTCAGAGAACTATACATGATGACTCCAAGATCTTTCTTGCGTGGTAACAGCTAATTTAGACCTTATCATTTTGTGTGTATAGTTGGGTTTGTGTTTTCCAATGTGCATTACTTCACATTTATCAAAACTGAATTTCATCTGTCATTTTGTTATCCAGTCATGCAGTTTTGTGAGATCCCTTTGTAACGCTTCACAGTCAGCTTTGGACTTAACTATGTTGAGTAGTTTTGGATTGTCTGCAAACTTTGCCACCTCACTTTTGCCCTTTTCCAGATCATTTATGAATATGTTGAACAGCGCTGGTTCCAGTACAGATCCTTGGAGGACCCTGTTCTTTACCTCTCTCAACTGTGAAAACGGATCATTTATTGCTATCCTTTGTTTCCTATCTTTTAACCAGTTACTGATCCATGGAGAGGACCTTCCCTCTTATCCTATGACTGCTTAGTTTGCATAGGAGTCTTTGGTGAGGGACCTTGTCAAAGGCTTTCTAGAAGTTCAAGTACATTATATTCACTGGATCGCCCTTGTCCACATGTTTGACTCCCACTTCTAATAGATTGGTGCGGTGTGATTTCCCTTTACAAAAGCCATGTTGACTCTTCCCAAACATATCGTATTAATCTGTGTGTGTGATAATTTTGTTCTTTATTATAATTTCAACCGATTTGCCTGGTATGGAAGTTAGGCTTACTGGCTTGTAATTGCCAGGATCGCCTCTGGAGTCATCTGGTACAGAGGCTGATTTAAGCCTCCTTCAGGACTTGCTGCTCCAACAAGCAGTCATTAATGGTGCTGAGAAATTTTACTTCTGCCTCCTGTCCTGAGGTGACATGTTCCCAGTCAACATGGGGATAGGTGAAATCCCTCATTATTGTTGGGTTTTCTGTTTCTGTAGCCTCTCTAATCTCCCTGAGTATTTCACAATCACTGTCCCCATCCTGTGCAGGGAGTCGGTAGTGTAATCCTACTGCTATACTCTTTTTATCAAGCATGTAATTTTGATTCATGTAAAATTTTTACTACATTTTACTTCTGTTTTCTTTCATGTATAGTGTCACTCCCCTACCAGCGCAACCTACTCTGTCATTCCTATATATTGTGTACTCTGGTATTACCGTGTTCCATTGATTATCGTCATTCCACCAAGTTTCTGTGATGTTTATTTTATCAATATCCTCATTTAATGCCAGGCTCTCAAGTTCACCCATCTTAATATTTAGACTTCTTGCATTTGTATACAACCAGGTGTCAATATTTATTTGTTTGCCTTCAGGTGATCTAACTTTTTTTTTTTTTTTTAAATGTGACTGTTTTGGTTCCTTCCTGTACTTTTTATCAACTTCTATCCTCTTTTCTTTACTAGGATATAGAGCGGGGATTGGCAGCCTTTGCCCTGTGGCCTGCCAAGGAAAGTCGCTGGCGGGCCGGGACGGTTTGTTTACCTGCCGCGTCCGCAGGTTCGGCCGATCGCAGCTCCCACTGGCCGCGGTTCACCGTCCCTGGCCAATGGGGGCTGCGGGAAGGGCAGCCAGCACATCCCTCTGCCTGTGCCGCTTCCCGCAGCCACCATTGGCCTGGGATGGCGAACCGCGGCCAGTGGGAGCTGCGATTGGCCGAACCTGCAGATGCTGCAGGTAAACAAACCATCCTGGCCCACCAGCAGATTTCCCTGGCGGGCCGCTTGCCAAAGGTTGCCGATCCCTGATATAGAGTATCCCCTTTAAACTTTCCAGATGGCTAAATTTAATTGAAATATAGCATAGACTTTATTTGAAGAAACGGGTTGTGATTAATCTAAGTTATTAACAATTATACGTAATTGCTGTAAATATAGACTAGTGATGGGCTCAGGGCAACAGTGTTGGTAACTTTTAAGTGGGGCCATTGTGACAGAAGTAACTCAGCCAATCACCATTTTTCCTTTATGCAATTTGCATACAGCTGTTCTGTTGGTTGTAATGACTCCATGGTATGAGGGAGACAGGGCATGTTTCAAGAGTTCAGTAGATGATTACTTGGCCCTGTGCTCTTTGAAGATTCTGTGGCTATATAATAGCTTGGACATGAGTGCTTAAAAGGCTCCTCATGGCCTCATTAGGCAATGCTGCTGGAGGTACTGAGACTGGAACATGGAGGAAACCTCAAAGCACAGAGACAGTGGTTCCTGGGCTGTCTCTGTCCATGCTTCACATAGTGCTAGTTTCACTAATGGAGCCCTCTAAATTAAGAAGTCAATTCCAATTAAGGAACAGATTCACTAATATGTGTCAGCTGCTTTGTGCTGCTCTTGCATTGCTAGGCAGCTGTAAACATAATGTAACTGTGGCTGCTTTTGCTTTGATGTGCTGGTGATTCTGCTCTTAAAAGGTAAAATAATAACAAAAGTTGATACTAGATATCAAATCATTAGAAGCGTTGCTTGGTAGCATTGTCTTTGGATTTCTTGTTCAGTGTTAGTGTGTGAAGTGTTAGCAATTTAAATTAAGGAAACTCCCAGATAAAAAACCCTAAATAAATATGGAGTTAAGGTTGAATGTATGTATCAGTAATTTAAGGGTAAAAAAGCAAAAGCAAAGGGATGTTGTAATTATCCCCAATTCCAAGCATTATAAGCGCAGGAAATTGGAAGTTAAGGTTAAATTTAAAAGAAATCTGAATATATTAAAGTAAGAACTGTAACACTGCCCTACCACAAGGGAGGGGAGGGGGGATTTAAATTTTTTTCATGTCTTTATTCTTATCTGCGACCACAAAAACTAAAATGGTGTCATCATAATCATATGATTATTACATGATGTTGCTACAGGGCAGAGTTAAGGTTGTTTGAGTGCCTTAATTGTGTATTTCTTAAAATAATCCAAGCATATTAAGGTAACTTTGATTCTGGGTTTATAATGCTTGGCTTTGGGATAATTACAACATCCTTGTAATGTTTTCTATCTTTAAATTATTGATACTTAGTTTCAA